GTTCCGAGTCAGTCGGACGAATCAGTTGGTCGGAATCGACCTGCAGGGGCCCTTTCCACGATCCCACCGGGGCAACCGATATATTCTCGTAGCGGTGGAATACTTCACCCGCTACCCCGTGGCGGTGGCTATCCCGGATAAAACAGCCCTCGTAGTGGCCCGGGCCTTCGTGGAAAACTACGTACTTAAGTGCGGGATCCCCGAACGAGTCATTACCGACCAGGGTAGTGAATTCGAGGCCGAACTATTTCAGGCGCTGTGCCGAGAGTTCGGGATCCAGAAGGACCGAACCACGGCGTATCACCCCCAGGCGAACGGGATGGTAGAGAGGATGAACCAGACTCTGGCCGGGAAGCTTAAACGCATGGCGGCCGCGAATCAACAGGACTGGGACGAACACCTTCCCTATGCCCTGTTCGCCTACACCACCACCGTTCACACCTCTACAGGACAGACCCCGTTCCTAATGATGTTTGGTCGCGAGTCTCGCCTGCCCGCAGATCTGCTGTTCGGTGTCCCTCCGCCGCAACGGGAGGAAGGGAGCCACCCCGTGGAGCACTTGCTGGAGACCCTGCGAGGGGCCAGGGGCCGAGCCTACCCGCACGGAGAGGCCGCGCACCAGCGGCAAGAGCAGGGCGCCCGACCCCGTATGGAGCCCCCCTTCTACACTGCGGGCTCCGAGGTGTGGCTGTACACTCCCCGCGTCGGTGCCGGACAGGTGGGGAAGCTGACCACCTACTGGCGAGGACCCTGGATTGTGAGACGGCAGATCTCACCCTGGACGGTACTGATTCAGGGAGGAGAGAGGGGCCGGGAGATGGTGGTCAACATCCGCCGACTGAAGCCGTGGCGAGCAGCCCCCAAGGGGGGGAGCCCCGCCGTCCAAGTACCCCGAAACCCCGGGGTCCCCCCACCCCCCGTGCCCGGGGGCCTCGCGCAGTACATGGGCCCCACGGAGCCCCGGGCTCCGAGGGGCCCCGGGCGGGGCCGGGGGCGACGAGGACGGCGACCCTTAAACCCCACCGCCTCTGAGTTTGTTCCCCAGCCCGCAGGTGCCAGAGGCCGAGGGGAGCCGTTGGAATGGAGGAGGAGACCACCGCCGGAGCCCCAGGAGACGGAGCCGCCACCCCCGAGGCCAGCCACAAGGGCCGGGCGAATCCCGCGGACCCCGCGGCGATACCTCGTGGGGGCAACCCAGGCGAGGTGCTCCAGTCAACCCGGGACGGGGACTGGCACCCCGGGGGGCTATGTGGTGCCACAACGACGGGGCCGCTCTGCCGAGCCAGGGAGCCGCCCGGCTTCCCCCACCGCACTGCCCCCCATCACCCGCCCCACATAAGCACACACCCGCACGCATTCCCCCCCCCCCCCCCCATAGAGCTGGAAGGGAAGGTCACTTGATCGACCGGTTTTTATCCGAGAGACCCTTATCGGGATTAATTCTCACGGTTTCCGGCGATCAGGGAATTGGATGACCTCCCCGTGCTACGTGGCACCGCGGCGCTGCGGCCGGCCTTAATATGGTGTGGTCGCGGCGTGGGGCATTCGGCCACCGCGGTTGAGGCGCATTTCCCCCCACACACACCCCCACGAGTCGACGGGGCAAGCAGGGGAGGCACGGGACAGCATGAATAGCGGGGTCACAGGGGCTGTTGCGCATAGTCATGGGGGGTTGGGATAATTGCGCTTGAGCGCGCAGACCCCATTGTTAGGAAGGGTAAGGGAGTAATTAGGATGTACGCCGCCAACGTCGAGCACTGATTAGCATATCAACAGCGCCTGGGGACTGCCGTGCGCGGGCTTGGGGTGCACGAGCCCATTGTTCAGCGCAGCATCCCCTTTGGAGGTAGGGAGGATAAATAGAGGAGCGCAGAGGGGAAATCGCTCTCTTACTCCAGCGCCAGGCGACCAGACGCAGCTCGAGCCAGCGACCCGGACGTCCGTGCGACGCACCGAGGCACGCGGTTAACAGAAGGATCAGCGGACCGCCGTGGACACTTAACAGTGAGTAAGAAGGGGAATTAGAATCATAGCCGATAAATAGGGAATAGGTACAGGTTTAGTGGAATAGGCCAGCCTCGTCGACTCACTGATTCAACATCAATTCGCAGGTGGCATATAATAAATCATTAATAGCGAAGCGTGGTCTCGCGTGATCTTGTCGTGCAGTGTGAGCGTGTGGGTGCGCTGTGTGCACAGTGGTTCGCCACGGGAGTGAGCGCTGCGCGGAGCTGAGCGCGCGGGTTGCGTGTGGGAACGCGTGTGGTACTGTGTGTGCGTAAGCTCGCGGCGTGCGTAATCGGCGTACCCCAGGTGCGCGATTGTAACGTGAGCGGCCAGCGCGGCGCAGAGAAGCGCAAGAGTGAGTGCCGTACAGAGCTGTGTGTGTGGGTGTGCGCGTACGTAATTAACCATGCCTGCTACGCGGACCCGCGGTGGAGTGGAATCCTCGGGCGACGGCTCCCACCCCATGGGTGAGGAACTTAGCAGCGGTTCGCTTAGCAGCGGGGGGGCGATTGATGATGCTAGCCCGGCCGTTAGCATTATCGAGGGAGGGATCTCGGGGGCTAGCGACCCCCACACACACAACCAAGGGTCGATTAACGTCGAATGCCGGGGGGGGGAGGGCACGTGGCCATTCAAGTTTTGACGGCTGCTCTTTGTATATTGAATTCCTTCCCTTTACCTGTGCTCGATGCCAAACATGCCATTGTTATTTATCTTGGTTATTTTGTTCAGTTATTTTTGTAAAACGACACGTGATCTGGTAAGATAAACGTAAGTTAAAACCAACAAAATGGTTTTAATTTCGGCTAATTACTGGTGGTAATATACATTGCTGTAAAGACCAAATTACCTTTATCTTATATTTATATAGTTTAAAATCGGTAACCAAAAAATCGAGTCATTTATAACAGCGCTTCTGTATTGCGGTTCAACCATTATACAGTAGCATGCATGTTTGTGTGGTCCTCAAAATCCCATCGCAGGGCTGCGGCCCCTAAAGCCTCCACATGAATCGGCCAGTGACGATATCACAGCCAGCCCCACAGCGACTTGATGAATTCGTGGTCGTGGTTAAAACCTTTGCAAATTTTTGTTCAAAAATGTTCCCTACATTTTTTTTTCTATTTTCCTTTCAGTCTTATTTGTACAGTTCTGTTTGCTCCATCAGCCCTGCGTGTAACAATTCACCCCCACTACCCCCATCTCTTCCCCAACGATGTGATGAAAAAGTTATAATTCTGGGTTACGAATTGATAAATAATCTATTTTGTGTGTTTTGTTTACTCTTTGGTTCTTTCGGTAAAGTCACGGAGAAAGAAAATAAATTAAATAATAGAATACGACGTTTCGATTGCAACACAAGCAACCGTCATCAGGTAGAACTACATTTGAGAGAGAGACAAAACACAGACACGGAGACACACAGACAGACACACAAGCAGAGAGAGACAACACAGATACACACAGAGAGAGACACAGAGACACACAGACAGACACACAAGCAGAGAGAGACAACACAGAGACACACAGAGAGACACACAGAGACACACAGACAGACACACAAGCAGAGGGAGACAACACAGAGACACACAGAGAGACACACAGAGACACACAGAGAGAGACACAACAAATCAAGTTTGTGTTTTGCTTGTACCATGTGCTCTGTTACATTTGGCATTTTTCCATTTAGCCGAAAGTTACATGTGAACATAATTTGCAGGAATCATCCATTACATTTTCACACCTATGATTCTATGCATTTATCGTTTGTGGAAACATCTAATGTATTTGGCCTACTCTTCCACACTGGCCAGGTGGGAGTAGCCACATTTACCCCTCCACCCACGACCTGTCGATCAACTAACTGTGGTGCAGTGGCGTCACTCGGGTTGCTGTCACCCAGTGCGGTAACTCATGGTGTCACCCCTCATGGACCTCCGCCCGTACCAGACCATACAGAATCCTTAGTATAATGTTTTTTGTACTAATGTTGCTCGTACATCGTAATTCCCGTATATCACTGAATGTAATGGCAATAGTAGTGACATAACTAGAAAAATTAAAATGACACCTTTAAATTACAATATTTACTTTAATTACTACTTAATTCTCAAAAAAGTTATTGATATAGATTCACAAATACTGCGCGTGCTTGTAGCGCGTGCAGACGAAACCACGTGATTTGAAGCGTCATTGTAATTGGGTAACAATGACAGCTCTGACCGGAGCGCATTAGAAGGTTCAAAAAGTAAATTAGCATCGAGTTTAGCCTTGTAGGTATATTGATACAGTACATGTAAGCTGGGCTTACGAAAAAAAATGTTGTTGTTTTCACTACAGGAATATTTTTTATAATAAATTTCTGCTGAAACACTGCACAAACATTTAACAGACATACTCTTTGGTTCTTTCGGTAAAGTCACGTAGGTATAAAATAAAATAACATAAATCACGACGTTTCGGGCGCAACACAAGCGTCCATCATCAGGTGGGAAAGCATGGTCTGCTGCTGAGGCAGACCGTTTCAAAAGGTTTGAAATGGGTGTAGCTCAAGGGTTATAAACGTCGTAATTAATTTTATTTTTCACCTACGTGACTTTACCGAAATAAACAAAGAGTATGAATTCCTGCAGTCACAAAAGCTTCAAATCAAGATTTAACAGACGGTCATTTGGTGTCACTCCCCTCTGATGGTGTCACCCGGTGCGATCCGCACCCCCCCCCGCATCCCCCCTCGTGACGCCACTGCTGTGGTGTACACATTTATACCGCCGAGTGGACAGAGACGCGGGGATTGAAGGGCACACACTTTGCTCCATCTATCTCTCTGGCAAAAGAGAACCAGCAGACCTCTGGATTGCAAAGTCCACTGCACTAACCATTTTATCAAAGGTAGCCGTGTACCATCATAATTATTCATGGGCAATTGTAATTGTCATGGTTCTGGTGGATTCTTGAAAAGAGCTGCTAAAGTTACCGAAATAGAAACATACCCAAATCAATTCATTCTGCAGTTTTTGAACTTTTTCCTTGTAGCTCCGTAGAGTGACAGTCTCGCTCGCCAGCTTCTGTTTTAATTCCACTGAAAAAAAGGAAACACGTCAGGAAAACCAATGATACAAGTCTCCATGAGGATTAAATACAATATACAACTCCTTCTCTTATCCGTGACCCTATTGCACACATTATTTCCCCACATATAAGTGGCGGAAAGGTATTTATGGCCCAAATCAGGATTGGTGTTAATTCCTGCATTAATCCTACACATTTTCATCGCTCACTTGCAACTTCACACCCAATGATAAATCTACTACTGGTGTTAAATATTGTGCTAACACTTTTTTGACAGGACAGCAGGAAGAAGCTCAGCCCCCTCTATCCACTCAGATGCTACGGGGCTGCTCTCATTTAGAACTGCTGTATTGCCAGGTGTTTTATGGTATGTTGAACTTCTTTCGCACTGTACTTATCCAACCGTGCTAATCGGAGGTGCAGGGGAAGGACAACAAACTAAACACAAAAAGCAGTTAAAAAGAAATCGAGTTTTCAATCTAGATTTAAAAGTGCAAAGCTCCAGTGGCTTCCTCATATCGGAAAGAAGAGCGTTCCAGACGGCCGCAGAAGCGCATCTGAAAGCGCACGATGCGGTGACCAGTCTTTGTTCGATGGCTAGCCAGTGTTGCCAGGTGTATCATGGTATTGTTACTGAAGTGCGAGAGTTGGACCCAGTGATTAGACCACTTGTGTTGGGAGGTGAATGCCACCAACCTAGCCGGCCAATGAGCTCTTCCTTTGTCATGACGTCAAACTGGCCATCGCTGAGGAGCAAGCGTCCTGCATCCCTGTGCAGGCTCATCTGCCGTCGCAGCTCACTCTTCTCAATCTCCAGACGCATCACCTCGTTTTCAGGGACAGGATGTCCTCCGCCATGCGCCGCATGCCCACACGGTACGTCTCCACCTCCTGTTGGCACACACCGATTTCATGCCATTGATGATGTGCATGGCACGTGCAGTTTTAAATAATGAATGATGGTGTTAACCAGGGCTACCTTGAAGTAAGGATTGTTGGCAAAAAGCAATATCACCAGAGTTCAAGATACACGTATCTATAATAATCGTATATCTGTGAACCCTAAATTCATATAATTATATGTACAAGTTCCTAATCATATGAACACTATCATGTGGAAAACATGAGGCGAAATGAATTTGATCTGCCAAAAATAAATCCTGGAACATCATTCAGGACTGTTCCGGCTAAAATCAAGCACTGATTTGACCAATTCAGATTTCACATTTGGAAATCAAACCCCGGATGGTGCTGCTGCAGTTAAAGAAATTGAAATCAGAAGGTCGCCGGGTCAAACCATGATTGTAATATTTACAAATCGGTCAGTGACGGACTGGGATGAAAAAAATCGGCCTGGGCGTTTTGGAAACACAGTGGGTCAAAATTGCCGTGTGATCTCATTGGCCCATTTGGGGCTGGTCCACAAAACACAAATGGGCCGGTGAGAAAGAATCTTGAGATCCTGCCGAATATGGGGACTTACTGCCAACTGAGAGCGTAAATAAGCAATGAAGCGCGTGTATATTTTTATAGAATTAATAGGATATGTTTATATTTACGCGATCTAACCCAAGAAACCTGTACTTTGATCACATTTGCAAATTCTCCCACAGACTGGCCCCCCACTGGTCCTCGGAATGGACCGGCCCACCGGACATTTGCCCTATGGCCCAGGTCCGGGCCTGAATTTAGCCATGGTAAATATTCCAACATTATTGCTTTTGCATCCACTACCAGCTCTATTTACCCACCTTAATCTGGTAATTGTGAATAGTGGTGATATCTCCATCAAGGTTACTGAAACAAACAAAAACATGCACAGAAATTTAACAACAAAGTACTGCATTGTATTTTGATTCAAAATCGTTTTTTGGGTCAGATCTTGTAAGTTAAACGTTTGTTGCACACCGCCCTCCACCCGACAGCCAGTTAATAATCTTGCCACGTGAACAAGTGCGCCAATTTATCACTGTTTCAGGACACTGGTCTGTTGGTGTACAATAAACAACATTGAACACATTTGGGTATGACGTTTCACTGGTAGTTACAACCAACAACACCAGTCAGTAGCCAGGGATTATACCACACTGTATTTCATTTCACAGCACTTATTCAGAATAGAGTACATTACTGTACTGGAATAAAGAACGGTGCTATTTACACAATCGTGAATACAGAGACTATTAGTTATTGCATACACGGCCCACAAGGTGGCGTTCTTAAACAATAAAGTGTTAGAATGTGCTGGAATCAAAGTCGACTGCAGGATTAAGAGTCACTGTCATTTGGATTGCCCCCCCGTCCCCCCCGGCTTCCGTCAGGATTTGGTGACGTGATAAAATATCCATCATTTATGAAATTAAGTAATTGGCTTGACACGTAAACAAAAATTAATGCACCATCACCATTCAAGTGTGGATGAAACATTCCGAGTTACGCATGAGACCACGGTATTTTATTAGCAAATCATGATGAATTTGATCACGTGCAAAAAGTAGCAATGATGTAATTATTCATAATAGAGAGTTTTTTTTGGGTTAGATCGCGTAAATATCTAAATGTGTCGTTAAAACCCACCACCACCCGACACAGCCAACTAGTAAGGATTGTCACGTAAACAGAACGTGGCAAATTCGTCACTAGTACAGCACACCGGTGTGTTGGAGAGCCAAGCCACAACATTTATAATCTGAGTACGACTAGCTTCATCAGGCGACAGCCAGATGTGTGGAGAAGTCCACCTGTTTACATATTTAAGTGATCGAACCAAAAAAACATCTATTATGGATATTGGTCGCGAAAGCCTGTGAGTTAAATCATGTAATTAGCCAGCGTGTATTCTCCAATCTCTTCTTGTCTCTCAATGTAAGTCCAAGCATGCATCTGCCCATGCTTATTTGTGCCCGTTTCCATTGCTGTTCACTTTTATTAATGACCACGATCCTTTTTTGTCATGAACCGCACATCACGGCAGGTAGTGAAGCACTGACTTTAATCGCAGGACAACATCTACTCACTCTGGTGGCTGGCCGTCATTTTGGTCGTGGTGAGCCTTTGATTTGTCCGAGGATGTGGAGTTTTTGCTGGACTGCAATTGGTGTGTGGCCGCGTTCTGTCGAGTGGGCGGTTGTTGCTGGGTCTGCGAGTCTGGCTGCCTCTCCGAGGGCTGCTGGGTAGGGGCAGCCACACGGAAGAGCTGCTCGAAATCGGGCAGCACTCGCGCCAGCGCATCGTAAGGAGGCAATGGCGGCGTCAGGCTCCTGTGAATGAAACAACGGACCAAATTATATTGCAGCTTTATAGCTGGGGAGGGCTGCAGAGGGCTGTGTCCCTCCCCCCCACCGCACACCCACTGCTAAAGATGTAATGTCCACCATCAAAATTCTTTATCAAAATAAAGGTTTTTTTTGGGTTAGATTGCCATTTAGTTACTACTTCAGCCCACCGGTGTGTTGGAGAGTAAATCCACAACATCTACAATTTGAGTACGAAGTTTCGCTGCTAACTACATGCAGCATCGGTGGGGAAGGCTGCAGAATTCTGGAAAAATCGACAGTTTTGCCAATTAGTAGCAAATAATTGGCATGTTTGGTTTAAGTGACAAACCTTACTAATTGGCTGTCTGGTGGTGGAAGGTTAACAACACATAGTAATAGGTTTTTACCCTTTCAACTGGTACAAAAACTGACACCTTTATACAAGGCATCACGTTTGCAATAACCACAACACAAGCAGTCAAAATGCAAACAAAAAGAAACAACTCTGATAATGATAATGATATGCACTGTCCTTGAAATTGGTTGGTCCACACCCGAGACAGCTTTTTACGTGGACCAATCAACTTCAAGGACAGTGCATATCATTATCATTATCAGAGTTGTTTCTTTTTGTTTGCATTTTGACTGCTTGTGTTGCGGTTATTGCAAACATGATGCCTTGCATAAAGGTGTCAGTTTTTGTACCAGTTGAAAGGGTAAAAACCTATATCTATATTTTGCCACTGGTAAAGGAGATGTCTCATAGGTTAACAACACATTTATACTAACGCGATCTAACCCAAAACAACGTTATTATGAATGATATTGGCCGTGAACGCCTACGTGTCAAAATGCTTCGTCAAGTCAAAAAGTGTTGGTAAGATATTTAACACGCAAGGTGGCAATTTAGCGATGGGCATTGAATGCAGCCTCTTTCCTCATATACATATGGGGGTGATGAAACTTTGAGCAGAATGCTTGATACACAGAAAGCAGATCAAAGCGTTGACTCATCCTGTTAGTGTTTAACACTTTTTGTTTAATATTAATTGTGTCACGGAGTCGCTGAGCTTTTGAATGTCGCCCCATCGCGTTTAAACTAGATCATGCTGCAGGATTGGAATAAGATTTGTTCTCATGTAATGAGAAAAGGAAATTGTGTGGCTTAAAGGAAAGCATACGATAAATCACACAAGCAACTGCAAGTATTAATAGAATTTACAAGAAAGTGTTTATCTGTTTAGCACTAAATTGTGAGCAACAGAATAAGAAACACGTATTTAACCTCAATCTAACTGGAGGTTGCAGAATAATATGCACGGGCATTACATATATTTCCATAATAGACAATCCTGAATATTGAGGGATTTCTCCTCCGATTAGCACGTTTGGCTACGGTGTGAAAACTAACTATTTTTATTTTGGCCCACTGAACTATGTAGCTCTTTTTCAGAAGCCACCTGTCCACAAAGGCAAGCCCTACGAAGTGGCTTATCACGTGCTGCTGTCAAAGCCCAATGGTTTCAGATGTGTGGCGGCCCTCACATCGATGATGTCTTATCGGCGAAAGTGGTCCCCCTTTCTGAGAATTCGTGAATAACACTGGCGTAGATATTGATTGGAGAGAGGTGCAGCAGTTCACAAAGTTAACCCGAAAGTGATGAACAAATAATGATGGAAAACACTGCTATATATATTTGGTAACGTAAGTAAAAAATAAAATGCATCTACATATGTTCGTTTACAAAATACGTACATACATAAGCAGGTGTTGCGATTTAAAAATCTCCCAGAAAATGTTAAGAATCCAATGTAGAAAACGAAAAAAGAATCGCATAAGTGCATCTGTTCTGCACCTACAATCAGTGTTTTGTTAATTCAGAGCATGGCCACATGTAATTAATTTTCACATAATGCCTCTTTAAACAGATGCATGCTCTTGCTTAGCTGATGGGGTTAGCCTTTTTATTGGTGGCTTGTACATTGTCCAAGGAACATAATTTAGGCAAGCAAGGAGCATAACTTAATTGAGCCAGACGAGGCATGTTTATTCATGAGCAATTTACCGAAATTACAAGTGCTATCCATCTGTGGACATGGTGATTATTTTTCTACAGTTTGGCCTTTTAATTATCCAGTCAATGGAGGCAAACAGTAGGAAATTACTACAAATGCACACATTTTGATGTTAAAAGTCACACAAAAAAATGCAACCACTAATGGCACCTATATGTGTGGGATGGAAATGTGGCGTTGGTGAGTAATATCCATACATAGCCATTCACTCTTAAAACACAATGGCCACAACACTGTGCTGCTGATGGATACATTTAGTTGCAGCCCTCTTGTCAATCCACTGCTGGATGACGACTGCGGTGCTGTGTAAGTCATGGCGTTCTTTGACCATACTTCACCACGCTGGTCGATGTGGGCTGGGGAAGGGAAACCGAAGCCCGGTTCCGATGTTACTTGCCACTGACGCTAGCCATGAGCAAGAATACAATTCAGGTCGTTGCGTTAATTGTACAGGGGTGTCCAGATGCCCCTGTGACTCACACTTAATTCTCTAAAACGTCATATTTTTAAGGTTCATTTAAAACAGAAATGAATATGCAAAGGAAATAAATGCTAGGGGGTCAATTAATCGGAGGTCACCACATCTGGCCCCCCCTATACAACAGGCGAACAAAAATGCCACCCACGACTTGCTCAATCGTGTGCTGTGCTGTATTTTTCGCATGTAACTTTTAATTTACTCTAACAAACTTACCATGAGAGGGAACATACCATAAAGTACTTCTATAGCAGGGTGCGTACACAGAAAATATCTTTCAAGGAAGACACAAATGCAATCTATTGGTCAGTCACCCAAAAACACATTACAGTGCTTATTTATCCAAATTTTCAGCAGTTATCAAACATCCAAAGCCACTGTTCATTAATTGAAAAGCACATAATAGTGCTTCATTGTACCAAGATGTTTTCTCCCTACACGTGAATAAAAATAAAAAAACAGTGCATTTTATTTCCATAAACAGTCCTCCTGCACCCAGTAAGGTCACAGTCTATATCCAATATTCTTTGGCCTGCCTGGACCCAATTTGGAGGTCAATCGCAATCTGAGATACATTTTATGGAAGTGATAGATTTACACACATTAACAAACTTCAAGCGAGAGTCTTATCAGGTCCTGCAGGCAAGCAGTCGTGCCATGCGTACGCTGAAATACGGTCCATGTTTATGGCTGCACAGCCCCTGGAGTGATATTATACTGCCAGAATCTATTACCATCAGGTCAAACCAAATCACCTCCCTATTTGCCTATTGGTCTGTGGTGGTCCCTAAATTTTTAATGACTGAGATGGAGAATTTGGTTAGATATCAAAAAACACCAAGGCCAATGCCGGAAAGCAGACTGCTGTGTTGTTGTATTGTTTCCACTATGTGGAATATACACAACATTTAAAGAGTGTTTTTTTTGTTTACGTAAGACTTTTGAAGTCATTTGTGGCTTTTTTTTTGACTTGTGAAAAAACATTAACATTTTCGACATTCCTCGGGATATATTTTATATATTTTGTTCTTTTGTATCCTTGAATATAAAAGGCTTTTACAGCAGCATGACAAAAGCGGAGAACATTTCTAAGCAGCAATTTCCGTTGACCTTCTGCTAAAAGCTTTTCAGGGTCTGAATGCCTGTCGCCTGACAACTTCAAGTGAGTGTGCTAGGCACATATGCATTAGGAAGACCTATGTACTGTCCATTAGCCAAACAGAAAAACACTGTATTCAATCCACACTGACATTGTATATGGGAAATAAATATGCATTCAAACATAAAATGTGCACCGTGTACTGAAAAAGTAGAGCAGTGCTGTCGAATTATTTACGTAATAAATCACTCTACCGATCATCGGTTTGACTAGTCAGCTCATCGGATAACACGAAAATAGTTGATAACAAAAAAAGTGGCACCTCTGGTCCAATCAGTGCTGCTGGATGTATTTTGAACTTCTTTCACGCCATACGTATCTAATCGTGCTAATGGGAGGTACGCACGGGAGGTGATGGCCGGGGATAGGTGACATAATTGGCACAATCAGCCTCGTCACACTGGGCGTTGCTTGTAGGGGGTTTCCTGCCTTCAGGAGGCAGAATGTTAGGGTGGCTGGCATTTTTAAAGAGACCCAAGTAATCTATGATAAAAAAAAGTAGTCGATTACAATGTACTGTCATGTATTTACTTTATCGACTACTCGTCTCAACATGTTATGCTTGTGATCAGAAATCACAGCTTTAAATACCCAGTGAGATCAAAGTGTGTCCCTATACCCAAATGAATTTTGGGCAGTGCTGAACCCTGTTGGTGATCCTGAGACAGTGGTGTAAAATCCACACCCTTCTGGACATAACCAGTCTCTCTACAGAATGAGCACTGTTGGTTTCCCACAAAATGAATTCACAACATATTCGTGGGTAGTTGAGCCCTTAAGCCAGCGTATAACCTGGCCAGATTCATGTATTGGATATTACATGTACATACACAGATTAACCTCATTACGTATATCATACTCATTTGCAGGGTTTAGCAGTGGCACAGTAGTTAGTGCAGTGTGTTATGAAGCCGGTGAGTTTCCCAGCAATGACTTAACATCAGCAGCAATTGCCATTATTAGTCCTGCACCGATTTTCATCAATATGCACTGATCATCAGTGTTACAGTCAAACAATCCCCATGATTGATATGGTATGGGGAGGCATTCATCCAGCAATGGATTGATAGAGGACTGTACATTATTTTAATGTTCATGATTACTTATTTATATGCGAAGGTGTTCAGAATTTTTGACAGTATGCACTACTAAGTATCGTTTTTATGATGCCCAGGCCTAACATGGGAATGTTTTTGTCGAGTTAATATTATACATACATACAGCATATTATCGATTTTACTAATAGGTGCAGCTCTGCAATTTCTTGCCAATGCCACTGCTGGTGGAATGGCCTCCACTCTCGAGTGCTCTAGCGAGCCCCATCATAGGGTAAGTAGGCCTACACTTCCAGGCTGGCCAGAATTTTTGGTTGAGGTGGGAGTACTCTTGCTTTACCCCACCACACACAAACTCTCGATCGACGAACTGCGATGCACCCATTTACACTTCTGGGTGGACAGAAGTGGTGAGATTTCACAAACTTGATCATTGTTTCAACTGCCATGCCAAGAGATCAAACTGGTAACAGTGTGATCTTTGGTTATTTTGGTAAAGTCACGTAGGTGAAAATAACAATAAAATAGCCCACTACAGTAATTATGTTTTTTGCTGTGGTTGTCCCACCTGATAATGGAAGCTTGTGTTGCCTCCGAAACGTTGTGATTAAATTTAGTTATTTTAATTCTTTATTTTTTATTCTTAATTTATATTTATATTTTTTCACATACGTGACTTTACCGAAAGAACCAGTCACGAAAACTTCAAATCTAGAATGGCAACAGTGTGCTAACGTTTAAACCAAGCCAACATCACCTACATATTAGTAAGGATTCTTACACTGTTAAATATTAATTGAGGACTCGGTGGCATCCTGGAAATTCCTGAGTTTCAACAGATGTACTGCATGAATAATGAGATAAATACAGTTTTACAAAGCCAACAAGTAACACAATTGCTCACATGCAGTGTTCATTCATTGTACAAATCCCCAGTAAAAGCACTCTCTCCCATGAGTAAGTGGCTGTGGTAGTCATAATGTCACATTAATATGCATGGCAGACAGAGCATGAGGTTAAGTAGGTCGCCAAGAATAATGCACCACACAGTGATTTGTTGTGTTTCTATTATCCGACTGAGGATATATACAAATCCTCCATTTATTTACATTATTTTTTTAATATTAAGCAAGTATATTATAACGATAAGAGTGCAGACACACTGTTCTCCTATGCAACGTGCACTCTACTGGACATCTGCATTGATTACATAAAAATAGATAAAAAAGACCAGTGGTTCTTAACATTTACTGCAGCCTTCACCCCTTTGGTTCTCAATCGCAAACAAATGTACGTCAATAAATACATAGTTTTGATAGAACAAAGTAGTTTTACTTACGTGCCCGTGATTAATTACTTTTTTTAGATTTACCTTCTAAAAAAATCGAGCCATGTCTCGCACCCCAGGGGTTGCGTGCACCCCACGTTAAGAACCACTGCGCTAAACATATATGTGCCCTCTAGAGGGGTCCCTCTAGAGCTCTCTGCAGTGGAGGCCCTTCTACCAGCAGCGGCTTGAGCATGCAAGTGCATGGCTGCACCTTTAGCTTTGATATTTGACCTCATGAGACAATCAACTTGTCCATGTAAAATTGGCTTATTTATGCTTTACATGTGTATATACAGTACTATAAACATATATTACACGTAATTAGACCTCCTTTGCCAGTACGAAAATATAATAGGGGTTTCCCCCTTTTTTCTGGTTACAAAACTGAAACATTTTTACAAGACATAAAAAGGTTTCAGTTTTGTTGCCAGAAAAAAGGGGGAAACCCCTATTATTATATTTTGGTACTGGCAAAGAAGGTCTAATGATGTAGATGTTTGCCCCGAGCCCTCATTACTTTGATAAAGCATTGTATTTGAGCTTTATGCATTTTGGCGTCCTCTGGTCTAGCACCAATTGAGACAAGGCTCAAAAGAAAGCCGTCTCTGGTGTGGACTAATCCGTTTCAAGGACAATGCATATATTATCAGTGTGTTTTTTGTTTGCATTTTCATCACAAGTATTGTGGTTGTAAAAAGTTTTCAGTTTTGTTGCCAGAAAAAAGGGGGAAACCCCTATTATTACATATTACACAGTGCCTGTGTGTGGCGTGGTGGTCCAGTGGTTAGCAGACTCTGCTATACACCCGGCAGCCCGAGTTCGACTTACTCTCACGACCAAAAACAGTGGCGAATATCTGCACCTGGTCCTGGGCATCCCCTATGTTGACTGAGCCTTAAATTAATCACTGGTGCGGTGGGTAAATACCAGCACTGAGGGAGCAGCAAGGGTGGTGTTGGCCGGTCCTTCATCAGTACTTGCGAACAGCACTTGCCCCAACAGTCTGTTGAAGGCTATACGGGGGATCTTTGTATGTTTATATTTATATCGTGCGACATTATGTACCACGAATTTCTGCACTTTTTACAAGCAGTGAATTACTGATGATTGTTAATGCAGAGAATTACCGGCAGTAATGGCAAGTAATTGTGATGCATTCGTGCTGCAGTGTGGCATTCTTAAAATAACGCAACATTTTGGTTGATTTCACGGTTAAAACGCGTTTTATTAGGCTAAATTATTGAGGCGCCTTTGGAAGTAATCAGCCTCCAGGGCAGCCCATTGTTCGCGTGGGTAAACGGCACTGCCTTTTTCCGTGCAAGACTAATGAAGTCATGGCCTTGAATACAAATACAGGTGGCATTTTATTGGCAATCCTGCTGATCCAGCAGCACACAGCACAGTTGCAATCAGCGCTCGTTGGAAAATAAATTATTATTTAATCAGCAATGCATTTAAATCAGCAGGCGGCAGCTGGTGCATTTGAGCAGATGCTCAGTAATCTGGCCAGGCATATTTAAACTGCATGGTTTTTTTTTTTGTCAAAGAGTGCAGAGAATCATTTTAAATTTGAAGAATTGTGTGGGATGTGATATTAAATGAGCAACATAACATTATTTTCACAAAATCGTATTTTATGAAAGGTGGTAGAGTGTAGGGCTCAGAGTAAAAGGTTGCGTGTTCAAATCCTGGCTGTGGAATGATTCGACCCATCATCTCTCCATGTCTGTGAAAACGAGAACCACTTTGTGGGAATGTCAACACTGCTTGTCTGACAGATAGACTCATTCCTACCGTAGGAATGTGGAATTTCCACAACTAGCTAGGGGCTGTAAACAGGCGATGAGCACTGCCTCAACGCTCATATGGGCAGGACATCACATTGACTCGTATAAAGTAAACCTAAATACTGTAGGAAAGAATACAATGTGTTTTACACATACTAAAAACACATTTTAACTGTCTACATATTTTTCACTCGACCTAAACAGACTGTTGGGGCAGGCATTATTAGGGGTGATAATCAACACTTGAGTAGTAGGACTAGCACAGTTGCAAGGCATTGGGCATGCAAAGGTGCAGCGATGAATCGAATGTATTTTCATTTTGCGAGCTCATGAGATAAATCAATTGTGCATCTAAAAATGTATTCCTTATTATTCATGAAAATTGTATTGTAAATAGTTTGTTCATGTTATATACAAAGACCGAAAAGAAGATAAATTATAAGCGACGGTAAAAATTACGTGTAAAAAATATGGTTCTTGAATTAAATCACGATTCTGAACCATGACAATTCATGGAATCACTGCAAGTGCACATCGTTCTGTGCGTAATAGCAAAGCTGATGTTGACACACCATATCAGCACTCAGTTTAGGCTGAGTTGACCTAAGGGAGGCTCAAATAAAATAACGTGGTCATAGGAATCGTTCCCAGATTGATGTTATTTCAGTACAGTTTAGAAGTTCACTTACCATATTTCTGCGCTCCACGACACAATCGCACACTTTTACACACTGTACAAAGTGTGGCGCTTCAATTATTCTGTCAAGCCTGAGACATGCCTGGATGCTATTATTGTAGCACGCAGTAAGATGTAATAATCCATTTGTACTTGTCAAGTCTTACAAACGTCCTCTTTTTTAAGTGCGGTGATTATAGGTATGAAATTGTAAGCATAAATCATTGCCGGCTTTAACGAATAATTCAGTATTTGTAAGAGTTGGATTCATCACAACTGCTGTCATATTTTTAAATGCCCGCATATTTCTAAATAATTAACATATTATTGAACAACCTTTAGTCAATCCACTTCCAGATGAAGACCTCACCACGCAGTGTGGCCACAGGGTTTGACCATACTTCACCACTGTGGTCAGTGAGGGTTGATGAAGGGGGGCAAGATGGGGGACTAGGACCGATTGATATATCGCTCGCAAAAAGATGTTCACCGTGGCCAGGAACAGAACTCAGGTCGCCAGATTCACAGCGCAGTGCGCTAACCACTGCACCATCATTCCATTCACAAATGTATACATTATTTGTATATATATGTATGGAGTAGTATACTTATTTATAAAAAAAAGTATTACTTTGGCTGGATGACATTTTTAATTAATGTTTTTTGGGGGGACCTCAAAATAATAAAACACATTGACCCATCATTCCTTTCTCGCGACCTTTAATTTCTCTCGCTTTTCTAATTTCCTTTTTTTTTTCCAAGCTCAAAAATACTGGGATGCCTAGTCTAACGTGTTTACTCCGGTCACACTAACATCGTGCTCATGTTTTCTCCTGGCATATATTCGCATTGAAAGTACAAAAAATAAATTAAACATCAACCCACTGCGCCGTGTGATTCGTGCAAGGGTGGAAATTACTGTGCATGGCCACTCGCGCGCAAACGCAGCGAGGGGCCACAGACGGCTTCTCGAAGTGGTTGCGGCTACCTTCTGCGCGTGGCGAGCTTCCTGCTGAGGACCACGCGGTCTCCTAGGAGATGACCGCGTGCTCTCCTCCATCCCCTCTTCTCCGCCGTTGTCGTCAGGGCCAAACGGGAGGAAGAGGGGCGACACCGCCCTGGCATTGTTGAGAACCGGCAAGCTGCCGGGGTCCACCGTCGTCAACAGTGAGTCTGGCCTCTGGAGGGACGGACACAATAAAGCAGAACAAACAAAAAACAAAGCAGGAAAAAAAGGGGCAAGTAAGGACGCTTCCTAGTTTCACAAGCGCGAAAAAACACACGAGGCGAAAGGTATTATCGAGTGTGAATCGAGAGTTGAGAGACGTGATAGGGACTATAAAGGCAAAAAAAATAGGTCAACGCAATCGATACCCATTTTTTGTTCGTGCAGCAGAAAGTGCTTCAACGTCGAAGTTGTATGGCAAAGATAAACGCTAAATGGTTCAGCGTTGAAATGTACTTAGTTCAATCGTACCTCGTTACTCCACCACAATCACGCACCAAACGCTCTTTTCAGCCACAGGAAATAGCACAATTTATATGGTTTCAATACTCTTATATGTCACATTTAACGGTTATTCATTTTTGAAATAGGCCCGTGGACTTGGGCGGCGAACGATGCACAAACTACACAGCGCGAGTAAAGAAACGTGTTTAGACCCCTTTACGAAGACATGATACACACACACACACACATGGATTTGTGGAAGCTACAAAACAAAGCACTCTACGTATTGAGCGTGCAGGTCCCCCACGAGGATGTGGTGTGGCCCACTGGTGGTGAATTATTCATTGTGCGCTCCTCTGCAGCTGAGGATCCGCAATGCAAGTCGGCTCGGGCTAGCCACCCACCCACCCACGCCAGCTGCCTGTCTCGGACAGGTAGCCAGAAAAATATTGCCCCAGGGCTCATAGCCTTTATTAATATTCTATTTATATAACCTTTGTGCCTTGGGAATTTCATTTTGATTTGACTCTGCAGCGCAGCGTGGCATGCAACAAGTGCACAATTTAGGTTTTGAAGTGTTTTATTCTTTTTAGTCGGAATAAATGTTTCCGTCCAAAATACTCTAAAGCATAGTCCTTACTCAGTGGCTAAGCAATAGCAGTAAACAGCATTCCCAAAAGCAACATGTATTGTAATTGAGGTATACATTCATTTTAAAATATGTAATGGTCCGATAATGTGAAGAACATTAGGGTCCTATGTATTTGCTTTGGATAGGCTTTTAAAATGCGTTTTATATGACTTCACAGGAACGTGCTATAATACCCCCTTGTCGCATTATCGAAATTATTCAACATTCACTTTTATGTAAAATCTTCAACAATAACTACCCATACCATTCCACTTAAAAAAAGGCAGTAACCTCGATGCTGAATACAGGACAATCTGAGGCAAAAAAAAATCATATTCTTAGGTTTTTCGGTAAGGTCACGTAAGGTAAAACATTAAAATTAATAAAAGTAAAATAAATAAAAATCACTTTTATTAATTTTAATGATTTACCTACGTGACTTTACCGAAAAAACCTAAGAATATGAATCATTGCAGTCACGAAAGCTTCAAATCTAAAACAAAAATCAGTTATCTATCTTGGGCACAATGCACAATCATTGTCACTGTACATCGCTAGATAAATGGCGCAGTGGCCCACGAGCACGTTCGTCACACGGCCGGGGATGTTCCGAGCGCGAGAGGAGCTGTCAATCACAGAGAGCCTTGCCACGGGAGCCGTTTTAATCAGCGCTCCGTCGGTCCCGCCCGCCACAGCCCACATCAATACCGCTTTTATGAGCTTGCCGAGAGCATCTACAGCACCACCCCCCCACCCCAAGCTCCTCATCATGCCGCTGATTAAAACGTCTCTCTCCTCTCATCACGGTTACGGTTATGGCGCATCCTTCCCTCTGGCGCGGATCTTGACGGTGACAGTTTTACGAGCGATGTAATAACACTAACATCAGCGGTTCCATTTTTTTCCCAACCTCTCTCTCTCTCTCGCTCTCGAATCGTATATAAGAATCCGCGTGCGAGGGCTCTCACACACCGCTTGCTCGCTCACTGACATGCACGCGCGCACAACGGCATGTTTGTGATTTAAAACTGTGAGATCATTGATATTTTGAGATAGAGATATGTTGTTTAATATTAATAAATACAGTCCCGTATCGTGATAATTCTATCTGTGCAGTTAAAATAGAGTGTTGTATTTTTAGGGTAAAAAAAATTTGGACGTTTAAAAAAAAAAAGATACCCTGACAAATTGCGGAAGCAATTTCGGATGATAAATGTGCCGCTACGTGCCATGCACATTCTTGTCGGTGCGTGTGTGTGAAAGCGGAAGAAGATTACTATCTAGATTATTTATTTATTAACATTATTATCTATGTAGACATGAAAATAAATTACAGATCTCAATTCAGCCCAAGGGTAGCAAGCCTTACACTGGCGAGGGCTAAATTATTTCCTGGAATTGAACGAGGCAATCTAGTTACGAACAACATTACGTATCGTGGCCATGACCTTGCAGAATTGCTTCTAAAAAAAACTGTGCACTATTTTTTTGACCTCGATCTGACACACACACACATATATAATTACATAATAAAGAGGTGACCACGTATGAGGAGGTAACACTCGAATCCTCTGCATAGTTGGATTCAATAATCCATTACTGTGCTGCCTTCTGCTGGTTACCTCAAACACATTTTATTCTATGGGCAAACATATTGTTTCACTTGTGACGTAGAGATACGATTTCATGCATCGGTGAGTTTGCGGACATGAAATTATGTCATCTGCACGGCACGTCTGCGTTTATTTGCATATCCATGAGCTTCCGTCGGAGCTAGTTTAATGCATGGGGCTTTAGGGTTTAGGATCATCATTCCAGGGCCTTGGATTCCAGGGTCGTAGATTTACGCTGGGTAATGTTGTTTGTAATGGACAATTTGCTTTTGAAATTAGGCTTGCAGCCAATTATTAGGCTATTAAGGCATACTTTTTCAACCGAGGCTGAGAGAAATAAAGACGTCACAGTCACATTGAAAAGTGCAGCAAAATGGCAAGGCAGCGTCAAATCTCACAAACGTTTCGCAGCTTCTCCACAGATCACTGCAATGTTACGGTGCATTCTGCTTTGCTTTGTTAAATAATTAAGTGAAAAAAATATATGTTTTACTCACCTCAGACTCAATGAGACGTAGAATCAAACCAACAGACGGAATGCCGTCATCCTGAGTCTTCAAGACTTTACTCTGCAATACAATAAAATAAAACAGAATTTAACTCAGGATATTTGTGTGCTTTCTATTGGATACGAACATAACTCATGTGGCCTCCAATCCACAGGTTTTGACTTTCGCTCTGCTGGGTTCATTCTAAAGCGTTATGAATTGCAATTAACATTGCAGTGGAGTGATGGCTACAAGCAAACCGACAGCCGAGTGACTACCTTGTAATTATATTTTTTAGGTCATGACCCACGATTTTATCTGGAAGATTTTATAAAAATGCGGGTTATACAGGACATAAGGGCTGAGAGGGTATGTGCTTGCTTTTGTTATTATCAGCCCCACTACTTTCACATATCCATCTAATTAGGGTGGTGATAATAATTACAAATTCATCCATCCATACCAATGTGTGCTGTTAAAATCGGGCCCCAAGGAACTGTTAACGCTGTGGTGGGAAGATGTCTTAGGTTTATCAGAGGTGCAACAACAGTGCTGTACTGAGTTATACAAAGCACTCTAAATATACACTGATCTTGCCAATCAAAAATCCATACTTATGAGGAGGTAACACTCAAATCCTCTGCACAGACGGATTCAAGAATCCATACTGTGCTGCCTGCTGTTGGCTACCTTGCACATGTTACTCTATGAAAAAAAAATACATTGTTCTACGTGTGATGTGGAGTTATATTTTTCTGCATCGGTGAGTTCGCAGACGTGAAATGATGTCACCAGCACGGCGTGTCTGTATTTGTTTGCATCTCTATGAGCTCTCTCCAGGGCTGGTTTAACACAGGAGCTTTCGGCTTTAGGAGCTGCATTCTAAAGCATCGGATTTTGAGCTCCCCACCCACAAATATTTAAACAGCTTCCTAACGGTCGAAACGAAATACCGTTGCACTTTCATAAAACTAATATGTATACACAGTAGACTCTCGATTAACCACGCACCTGAAATTTTGACATAAATTAATAACACATTGATTTTCCCTTAAGCTCAAATTAATAATTTAAAAACAGTTATACATTGTTATTCTTGGAAATTTGTATTACAAGTCACGTACTTAAACCGAACAAATATGTGCTCTGGTTAATCCAAAATCCACGTGATCGCCTCTACAGTACAGTAGTTGCATATCTTTACAACAGTGGGGCGGAGTTTGATTGATTTTGATTGGCATGGCTCTGCTATCCACTTAGTAGGCGGAGTCTTCTGCACAGGAGCAGAAAAGTGTTATCACTGAGCACGCGCATCGATCGGTCGATCGTTAGGTTTTTCGCATAGAGATCTGTGGAAAATGCTGAATTTTTTTGATTATCCGCGATTTTGAAATATCCACAGCCGTCCTCCCCGTCATTAGCGCGGATAATCAAGAGTCAACTTTATATATTTTATTAAAGCCAAAGCATCACTATGTGAATAACTAACAGTGTATATGCCAACATTTCAATCGTTTTCTTCATTTTTTCTTTTATTTAGCTTCACATTTAAAAACTAGAACTTGATATAACCAGGGTAAACAACAATGAAGTGACTGGCTTCTGACTGTGAATGACAGTGGTCAAACATGACACGCCAGGAATTTAATATCCAGACGGGCAATGAAAATAATAACTGCCCCTAGCCCCCATCAAATGTAATGTGGCCCCTGCTGTTAGATATTGTTAATCAAGGTGCTATGTTTATTTCCTTTTCTTCCTTACCCCCTCTTCCTCCTCCTATCATTTGGCATTTTCAGTTTTTTGTGTTAAAAAAAGACCCAACACGTTTGCCATGTGATCCACGCTCGAGCGTACGTGAACGGGCACGTGGTCGAGGCGGATGCCCCGCTTGCAGCCCTCCTCCATGAGCCGGTGGTACATGTCATCTCCTAGCGGCACCACCGAGATGCCAACGGGGCTGCCGGAGTGCCAGCTTGCGGCGTTCATCACTGCCACGAAAAAGAGAGAGAGAGAGAGAGCCACCGATGATTAAAAATAGCTGGCCATCGAGAGCCCAATTATGCCGCGCTCCGGCATTCGTCTTCATTTGTGTTATCCCGTCGTTTCTTTGTACCACAGTCGTGTGTGCCGGCTGTTGTTCCACACTTCTTTTTCTGCTATAGTGTGCCAAGTTTCACACGTTGAATGGAAAAAGCTTTTTTTCTCCTCTATCAAATCAATGGCATTGACACGTTTTGGCAGCACACGGAGAGGCTTAGTTCAATCAAGCTGGGTTTGTTAAATAAGTTTATAAATGTGATTGGAGCAATCGCCGCCGAAAAGCATTTGGCGGTGGATGTCGTTATCGCTGCGAGTGATTGCGTTTGCTGTGAGGAGGCAATGAAATGTGTTGCAATGAATTGCACCTGTGCTAAGCTGGTAAAACTCTAAGATGAGCGCGGCATCAGCTGTAAAAGCGGTGGCGCAATCTCTGCTGTGGAACAAGAAGGTATGGTCCCATTGGGGCTGCTCCTTAGGAAATCCTCCAGCTGAGACCTACATGGGAGCACATATCACACGCTGGCATCAGATACTATGACGAATGTTCACATGCTGGTGGCATTAACGTTACATCTTAGCTTTTTGGTAGCACACACCCTATGGGATGGACATCTTAGGAGAGTCTTTTGTTTTTATTACGTGTTTAATTGAACCCGCAACACAAACGCGAGAGAGGGTAAACAAATCTGCGCGTGGGGAACGGAGTGTAATTTAATTGGAAATGTACTTATTTATCCGGGACAGCCACACTGAGTCGTTGGACTCTTTCTCTGGAGGGTTTTGCGTTGAGGCTGTTTGTTTCATTTTAAGATTTTTCAGCAAATAAATGATGAGCGTGCATACAAGTGGGAGGAAAACGGAGCACCCGGAGAAAACACACGTGTGTAATGTTCACATGCAATATTTTTTTTAAATTGTATTTTGCACTCCCTACTTTCGGCATAAAAAAAACATAACTTATTAACCGATGAAAGTAATTGTAAGTGACATGACCGCACGTTGACTTTGCTCTACACATTTCAGAACTCTGAATAATCATTACAACTACACAGAGCACACATTTGGCCCGTAGTTGAAATACTATTACACAGGTCAACACACTTTTGCTGGCATAAGGTATTCCAACGGTTTTAAGGTAACTTTGGAGTGCTGATTCCAAATCTGGCATCAGTTTTTGTCTATCACATCAGGTTTTTGAGATATCAAATATTGCAGAAGAAAAATATTAAATAAATGTGGATATCTACATAAAATGATATTTTAACACTAAAGCAGTCACTGACTCGCAACAACTTGCAATCATAAGTGACAGCGTTAATTTCGGGTAAAATCAATGAAAATGGGGTATGCCGATAGCATAAAATGAGATGTGATAGAGCAAATCTGAGATCAGATTTGGAATCAGCACCTTGAAATTAGTCTAAAACAGCTGCAAAATTCCAGGCCATAAAAAAAATGTTTTTTTTTTGTTGACCAGTGTTATTCCTCCTTCACTGTGCCTGATAGAATTCTACGGGCCGATTGACGACCCAGCACTCACCGATTAACTCCAGGTCACTTGCTCATAGGTGGCCGGTCACCTCCTTAGCACTCCGTAATCGCTACTGTAATCGTCCCGTGAACGTCACTTTTTAATTCCTCCACCCATGTTGAGGATTTGGTGTATTGGAATTAATGTTTCATCTCACCCATACTCTGTTCAACCACCATACTGCAAGTTTCAAACACTTCTTTTTCTGCTTTTTCCCCTGACGCTGCTCGGCGTTGGAATTCTCCCCTATCGTCTCTATTCCCAAATTCCCACAACCTTGCTCAATTCAAGAAACGTACAGTGCGAACTATTATCTATCGTAACTTCAATAAGCGCTGTTTGTTGCTGGCCACTTGGCATTTGGGCCTTTGGGCCTGGGCTCAGCAACCATAACATCAATAAAAAAAATTTTTAGAATTGTAGATATCACTGCAGTGAAAGCAAAGCGAATGACAGTGTCCGTACTAAACGATGGCACTGGGTGGAGTTAAATCTCTTATTCGTTGGCCTCAGTCGTTGGTGAAAATTCCACATGCCTACGGCGGAGGGTCGTCTCTCAGCTGGACAAACACTATCATCCTATCATGTGAGCACAATTCTAAACGTGAACATATATACTCTTTGGTTCTTTCGGTAAAGTCACGTAGTTAGAAATCAAATAAAATAAATCACGACGTTTCGATTGCAACACAAGCAACATTCATCAGGTGGGAACGACCACAGCAAGAAAAAATTGCTCATTTGTTGTAATTACTATCAGCAAAGGCATCATCATCAGCCATGACCAATCCGCTGCTGGATGAAGCCTTGCACAAGCTGTTGCCATATCACAAGGTACTGCAATACAACATATCCACCGAGCATAGGCACAGGAGCTGATTTGATTGCTCCATCTCCACAGAGGACATTCTCCTCGGAATCCAATAATTTCTCACGAGTATGAATAGTGACTGCATACATTTCGATTTAAAGCTTTCGTGACTGCACGGATTCATCTTCTTGGTTCTTTCGGTAAAGTCACGTAGAATGGAAATAATAAAATAATAAGAATAAAACATAATAAAATAATTCTCACGACGTTTCGGCCACAACGCAAGAAGCCGTCCTCAGGTGGAGAACAGGTCTGTCGAGAAAACAGAGTCTAAATGACACACCTCAGGCTTGCAGCTTAAATAGACGCTCCAAGCCTGGGGTGTGTCATTCAGACTCTGTCTTCTCGACAGACCTGTTCTCCACCTGATGACGACTGCTTGCGTTGTGGCCAAAACGTCGTGAGAATTATTTTGTTGTATTTTTATTATTTATTATTTCCATTCTACGTGACTTTACCGAAAGAACCAGAAAGTGACCGCATAATCGAATGCCATTATCGTGGAGCGACAAAGCTGCCAAGGCATTACCTAGCTACAACTGAACAAGAGAGTCACGTGCGAACCCACACTGCAGGCCTTCAACCTCAGGTGACCTCTTCATTTGGTCAGGCAGAACACAAGCCTATGAGGTTTCTTCCTCCCACGCAAATAAATCGCATGGCTTTACCCTCTGATTACCATCAACCCCTCAGCCTCCCCCATTTCATAATCCCTGCGTACGCCAATGCAAGATCCATAGCGGAAACCTGAGGACATTCTAACAAAATAATGAGGCCAAAAAAAGGGTTTACCGGCAAACTGATTCTCTTAGGGATTGCATCAGTATTCTGAAGCTCAAAGCATTTTTTGTCATATTAAATGAAGTAGATTACCCAAAACTTACAATGCATGTTTTTCCTCAAGTCCTTTTACGTCACTTAAGATGCAGTATAATGATTTATTGTGCTAACAGTAACAGTCATTGGTAGGAATGTAAAAAAACATGACAAATTCACACTATCGCAGTGTCCAAAATCAACTGATATGTGGGCAGATGTAGTATCCACCGTATTAATATTCTAGAATGTATTAGCCCTCTAAGCAGAGCATTTTGTAATATTTTATTTACTAAGGAATCAGTCAGACATGATATGAATTTGAATAGGACTATGCTAATCTGCATAGATTTTGTGTGTGTGTGCACAAGTGTCCCAAATCATAAGGACTAGGCATGTGACAATGCATCTATTTATCGAGTAAATTCATTTTTATATTCATGATGCAAGTATCGAATTGTGTGTGTAGAGCAGTCGTGTAGTAGTTAGTGCGCTGCGCTACAAACCCGGCGACCCGAGTTTGATTCCCGCTCACGGCCAACACCACTGACGGTTATCTGAAACGATTGTGGGCCTCCCCTAAGTCGACTCAGCCTCAAATGAGTACCTGGTGCGATGTGTAAAACATCACCACTGGGGAGACAAAGGCGGTCAGGCGTGGTGCTGGCCACCCACCCCCTCGTGTGCCGTGCCGGCCTTTATAGGTGCTCGCTAACAGCACTTGCCCCAACAGTCTGTTAAGGCCATACAGGGGAATCTTTGTCTTTGAATCCATTATTAATATTCAGGCTTGACCAAAAATGTACACATTTCAGAACCAATTATAAACAAAAGAACGCACTATAACTGCAAATGTTTCTCAAGACACTGCGCAAAACAGTTGGGACTTCTATTACAGGGGACTTATACTGTATATCTCTTTCAAGACTAAAGGCAGTCGGTCAAAGGCAGAGAAGATTAGCCTGAACATGTGCAGAGGCAGGAAGTCAACACCAACGAGATGGTAAAACATGGGACGAAAATAAATAGTAGAATCATGAACCAAATCGCACAACACCCCGATTCACGATGCTCCATCGATTCTCTTGGCGGAGGGGAATGATTACGTGCCTAATGCGCAATTAGCCGGCGGAGCGTGGGAGGCACATTCATCGCTGGCTGTGGTTTTCTCGCTCACTCGCATTATATCGGTACCTGCGGGTGGCCCTGGCTGGTCACCGTGTGGAATGCTGCCAAATGCTGCATGGGGAAATTGATTGTTGTTATGTTGATCCCGAAGGCCCTCGGAGTCCTTTGAAGCAGGGAGTTCCTTTGGCATAAAAATACGTGTCACAAAAAAAACCACTTTAGTTTTTCCACACATCTCCTATAAGAAAATAAGTTGTGGGGTAGGAATGAGATCTAAAGGTAAACAACAAAAGCAAAGCAAACAAATTATTGGCACCATTTGAAAGAATTGTGATGTGATATAAGGATTGTGATGTGATATTCTCCGAATTATCATACGACTCAGTAAGTAAGCCGCAACCCAAACGTAAACCCGATGTGAGTAAAGTTATAAAAATATGGTCACGCACACACACAGACAGACACTTACTGGATTATAAGATGCACCCCCCAGCTTTTGCTCTAAAATACAGGGGAAAGAAGTGTGCCTTATAATATGTAGAAAATGCAGTATGTGCTATAATGTGTCTTATCTTTTTACAGCAAATTTGTATAATCTACTGCTGGAACAAGGTCTCCCCATACCGTATCAGTGGTGGGGCATGTTTGCACATACTTTTACCATGCAGGACAGTGTGGATTGAATGGATGGGTACCCAGGAGAGATCACTCACTACTTCTGTTAGCCGTGACCGGGAATGGAACTCAGGTAACTGGATTCAGAGCGCAGTGTTCTGGGCACTATGCCACTGCTCCACCACCATGTCTTATGATGTTGTGTGTAAAATAGAAACAGCTGAGCAAGGCTTTTTTTATTATTACCTCTAAATCCCATAACCTGCTCCAGGGAGGCATATCCAATAAAACGACAGTCACGCTATGAAGAAGTGAAAAAGTCAAGTGTGCACACGCAAGCGTGCCTGCACGTGCCGTTGTGAAAATGGGAATTGGACATGCTACTTTGCTGTGGTCATCAGTGCGTCAATATCCCGCAGATTAGCACTATTAAATATAACGATTATTCCTCGTCAAGTAAAGTAAAAAGAAATGGAAGACACAAATGAGGTAGTTTGCAATAATGCAAGTGTTGCGTCAAACTATACATTTAACAGTAACCTTCGTCTATATTTATGTAATATAAAGGACACTGAAAAGCAAGACCCACACAAAACTGTGCCACGTATCACTAAAGTTACGCAAATCTGAACATACCCACACACCTACCGGATTATAAGATGCACCTCCAACTCTTACTTTCGTCATGAATGCTACAAGCATCATCCTGCTGCCACCCTTTAAAAATCCCAATTTGTGCAATGGACATAAATCATTCTCACTAAATCATAAACCTCGTATTTATTTTAGTTTTAAACCTGTAGCTGACGAAGTCGGGCACAATGCGAGCGGCGGCTAGGATGGGCCCTGTCGGGTCCTTCAGGGGCTTCTCTACGGCCCGTAGCAGCACCTGCCATGCAAAACAACATCCGTGTCAGCTACTCACTCTCAATGTGCAGTTGCCATACATAAAAAAATACATTTTTGGGGGAGGGGGGGGGGGCGGAATTATACACATTATAGTAAATTGACCGGCAGTTGTGACGTCTTCAGACAGCTTGTGCGTGGTGATGTACAGCTGCTCAATCTGCCCAACTAACGTTTTTTATTGTATTTTTGTGTACTGCGTATATATACGTGTTGTCTTGTCTTAATACGCTCCTGCATTTAGACGCTTTATACATTTAAAATTTCTAATTACTGAGCAATATGGTCAGTTCATTAGTATAAATGAGATGGATTGTGGCATCACAAAACTGAGGGATTACAACAGTGTGGGGAGGCCTTCATTCAGCAGTGGAGAAACAATGGCTGCTGCTGATGATGAGGTTGACATCGGATAATGTAATCCCATCTTTTTCAAAGTTGACTTTACATTTGTTCAATTTGGCAGAATCATTACGTAGAGCCTTGGACATTTTCAGGTTACAGCGATAGAAAATAAATGAGCAAACGTATTATTTAAAGTTTATGCAATAGTTAACTCAAAATATAATGCATAAATACCAATTACTGTGAATGTATTAAGCATTATAAGAATTGTAGAACTACCACTGGACGTTCCGTTATTGGTGTATTTGCGCTGAAATAATTGTTTATCCTTTGGTCAGTAGTTATATATATGATAATAAACAATGTATATCCCCTTGCTAAACAACTGCTGGATGAAGGTCTCGTCACACCATATCAGTCATCTGGTCCAACACCATGTGAGACTAGGCTCTAAGGAAAGCTGTCTCGGGTGTGGACCGTGCATACATTATCAGAGTTGTGTTTTTTGTTTGCATTACGACTGCAGGTATTGTGGTCTATGCAAACATGACTCCTTGTAAAAAAAAGGTGTCAGTTTTGTTGCCAGATAAAATGGTAAAAAAACAATTATCATATTTTTTCTTCTGTCAAATGAGGTTCCAATGGAGTAACGGGGGTTGTTTGACCATACTTCACCATGCTGGTCAGTGCCAGTTGGCGAGGTGCGTGCCCAGGACCAGTTCAGATATTGCTCACAAGCGATGTTTATCCGTAGCCAGGCATCAAACTCAGGTCACTGAGATAATAGAGCAGTGCTCCACCCATGTGAATATATACACACTGTGCACTAATCCATCTCCCTGTGCATGTCTATGACCCCAACCAACTGAGTTCCTTTCTTGATGTTTACCAATACTGACGAGTGTCCACAAACACAAGTCAGCGGTAAAAATGAAATGTAAAATGAAAGGAATTACAGTCACATACATTAGTTACAGCAGTCTATCCTACTAACATTCTTTGCATTACATGTGCAATTTAAGCCAAGGCATCACATGGCATTATCGTCATTCGGCAGTCTGCCTACTCCAATTAAATAATAATTAGATGCTTATTAAAAAAAATTGCATTTTTTGCTATGCTACCGAGGGATGGCCTAAATAAAAACCAATAGCCCAAATTTAGCTTTACACAAAATAAATAAAACATGACAATAAAACGAGCCAGGCGTTGGTAGTTCATGTCTAAAGTACAATTGTGTTTCATGTGGGATTGGTGGATTGTGCACAGATCATCATGGTCATAAGACACCAACCTGCAGGGCTAAGAGGTGGTCAGTAGGCGGCAGTACAGCAAATAGGTTGCTAACATGTGTGGGTGTTTTTTTTAATATCCAAGTGGTCCAGATAATTATCATATGAACATCACTGCACACGGTAAGGAATTGACTAAACATTCCAAGAATAACACATCCTGAGAAATTACAGATGCATTCGAGGCTTTCATGGATAAGTAGTGGACACTTGTTATTATTCATCATCATCATCATCAGCCAGATCTCACAAAGCCTCTGCCAAATCTTGCAATCCTGCGATGCAGCAATCCACCTAGCACCTGCACAAGAGCGTATTCATCACTCCATCTCCTTGATGGAATTCCTCTCGGATGCATTCTATTCCCTCGCTGCCACTCCATCTTTATTCTTGACCATCGGCCGTCATCCCCCCTTCCAGCGAAGCATCCCGCCCAAGCCCACTTACTTTTCTTAACGAATTACGTCTTTAACCTGCAGATGTCCTCTAACCCAAGTGGTCATCTTTCAATCTCTTCGTGTAATTCCAACCGTCCATATGCCCCTGCTTCTCTACGCACTTTAGGGTTTTTGCATTATTATTATTATTTAATTCACCCTGGTGCTTGGCAGTAGAGCAAGGAAGTTGCGAAGTTCAAATCCTGGTTGCGGGTCAACTCGGCCACAATCACCCGTCCAGGGTCAATAAAATGACTATCACTTTCTAGATAAGTAAACATTAGTTGTCCTACGCAGATACTCGCCCCTGTCATATGATAGTGGAATTCCCACCACTGGCTCAGGACTGCGATCGGAGGATGAGCACCGCCTCAATGCTCGTTTGAGCAGGAAATCACTTTGTCTTCGATTTGTTTGTATCATTACTACTACGCCTGCTAAAATATTCTAACAGGTGGAGGAGGGGGGGAAGAGACATTTTGGCGCGGGGGTTGAGGATTGTGCAACCGCGCCTGACCTCCAAGCTGGTGAAGGCGAAGCCGTGCTGCCTGGGAATGGCCTTGCCCTTCCTCACCACGCTGGCAAACAGCCGGATCCCAACCGCGATCCGCTTGTCAGGCTGAGGGCACCCAGGACGTTTTTCGCAAGGGGTCATTCATTATCAAAACACATTTTTATACGAGCGCTAAACGTGTCGTCATTCACGCATGCCACTGCATGTGTGTCTGTTGTTGTTTTGTGTTTGTTGTGCATTCACGTGTGCGTTAAACATATTGTATAGCAAAAGAAGCACGTGCCGAGCAGGTTTATTGAAATAACTTCTTCACGTAAACTTTTGCCATTTCATTGCAGTAGTATTCATTCTTCAAGAAGGTTCCCGTTTTGCAATTTAAAGACCGCATCTGTTGTGTAAGTCATTAATTTAGATGTTAAAGTCTATGCACGTATAACGTAAACTTTGCATTGTAGTGCAGATTATTCTACAGCCACCTTAAATTGCTTTGCAAACGCGTACATTTAATTAGATTTGTTTGGCTACGTCAGGTAGTTGGAGGGTATTATGGCAGATCGTTATGCTTGTGAATCGTAATGAATAAAAAATCGTAACATTGGCTACGAAAACCAACGTGTTCAGTCAAAACAAAGCCGGTCTGCATTATTGCTGTGTTTATGAATTCACGCATGTGTGCTTTGCTTTATTTACAAAGTAGCTGACGGTATTTCAAGGCAAGACCAATGATTTGTTTTGGTAAATGCACGACAAAATAGATAGTGCTAGAAAACCAAGACATGCTTATTTTCTACTGCCGTACATGTTTACTCCCTTGCCTGATATGCAGGAGGTCGTGGGTTCGATTCCCGCCCTTAAACCTGTGTATTTGGAGTTTGCACCTTCTCCCCGTGGTCACGTGGATTTTTCTGCGGCTCCTCCAGTTTTTTCCTCCATATTTATAAACAAGCGTTTGGAGTATTTGGCTGCTATACATTTCCACATAAGCCACTTAGTCAAGCTATAAATTGTGGCCAGGTCACTGCTGAAAAATAACTATATAGCTCAGTGGGCCTTACCTGGTCAAAATAAATACATTTCTAGTTGTCTAGTTTACTTTAGGGAGCAGAAGGTGACGGTTATAGAAGAAACAAAATCACCAGAACAACTGAGCGAACGAGATGTTTAATTTCAGCTGCATGCGTTGGACAAACGATCAAAATACCTTGACCAGTTCCAGGTGGTAGTGGTGGAACGGTTGCAAATACCAGACGGGCAACCTATAGCTGACTAGAAGCTCCTTGGTGTTTTCATCTGCCACGTTCACCACCACCACTGTGCAGGAAATGGAAATGTCAGTTTAACACGTAGACTTTCGCGACCATTTAATAACAAAACAGGAGGATATCTCCACAAATCAGGCTGTCGCCTGATGATGCTGGTTGTAATTACCGGCAAAACGTCGTACTCGAATTATAATTGTCGTGAGTTCACTCTCCCAACACACCGGTGTGCTGTGCTCGTAACGAATTGACCCGTTTGTGTTTACGTGACAAACCTTACTAATTGGCCGTGTCAGGTGGTGGCAGGTTAACAACAAGTTATATTTACGCGATCAAACCCAATAAAACCTCTATAAATGGAAATGTTTTTACATGGATGACCCTGCTTGGCAATACGACCGCACTTATTGTGTCGTGTTTGTTTTATCGATATGAAAGGGTCATATAGAGGACATAATTCAAAACATCTGTCCACATGGGTGTGTCAAATACGTGTAAAAGACAACAAAAGAACACTGGGGAAGTGGTGGCACAGGAATACGTGTATTACGATTACAAGCCTGACAACCTGAGTTCAATTCCTGGGCCATGGCTCACGTCAGTGAATCGTGGCATCTTAGCCGGTTCTGCACCCTCCCCAATGCTCATTCTCAGGGAAACCTCGTTTGCTTTAAACAAAAAAAAATATGTTCGTGTGTAGTTTGTTGTCCCGCCACCGCTACGCCTCTGATTAGCACGGTTGGCTAAGTAGGGTGCAAAAGAAGTGCAACATACATACATACATGGAAGACTTCATCCAGCAGTGGATTGACAAGGTACTGTAGATTATATTAGTATAAAAAAGACATCTAACAGGCTTATTATAAATACTAACATATGAATGTGATAAGAACACTTGTTTTCTCTTAGGGCATCCCATAATGACAGAGTCTCCCTGTGTATAGATCATATACAACAAACATTGCACAATACACGAACACCTGTACTAGTGCTCTCGAATAGAAACTATGACAATACTAAGAAATGTGTATAAAATGAATACTCTTTTGTTTACTCGATGGATTTATACCACTACAATACAAACGTTTATAGAATGCAGTTTAATACGTAGTGTGTGGGTATCCCCTCGTGTATTGAAATAGGTCAGATTTTTATTATCACGCACTGTGAATATAAATGATCTCGACGGCACGTAATAATAGATACTCCTCCGCCTTCATCAGTGTAAGTGTTGAAAAACATGTCACATCTATATTTTAATTTTGTTAAAAAAAATTTTGACTTGTAAGTTACAGTCCCTTTGTCAATCACCTGTTGGATCCATGACTGTAATTTGTAGAATACAGTCTTCAAGAGCATCAAGAAGGCTATTGTGTGTCTCCGGTGTCAAAAGCAGTGTCGGGATGAAGCAAAATGAGGTGTGAAAGTGAACCGTGGCCACAGGAAAGATGACCATTGACCACGTGATGAGAGGCAATCTCAATCCGAAAGGCCAGTATAGAAGCCGGGTTAAATTGGGTTGAGTGGACAATGGCGTGTCAACTGCTCGATTAAGTATGGGTGACTCTTGCAGATACTTCGCTGAGGATTGGAACGCTAGAATATACCATGGTAGTTGAGAATCGGGGATTTGGTTTAAGTGAGATTTTTTTTCCCCTCAGAACGAAGGTAATGGCAGCAATTTAGAGGTGCAGAAGGTAATACGTAAATAAATAATGTTCCGCTTTAGGGCAAAAAAAACAATCAGCTTTGGGGGGAAAATGCTTGATTCAAGCCGGCATTTCAGTTTCGCTAATCCAATTCAATGGCTGCAGACAATTTCCAGGGGACACCCGCAGAGAGATTCGGAAGAGGCATTCATGGGTAAATGCATTTCAAGTTCATGCCCGAAGAATGGCTAGGCCCTGCTGAATGAGAATGAAAATTGGGACATAAATGTGACACAAGAGCCAGTCACATCACGAAAGACAGCTCTGTCAATCAGTCGGCCTGAAGGTCATATTTCATTCCTCAACATTTACATGTTCAAATAATTTATTCCAATTACAAACCTACCCAAATATCCTTATTTATATTAGCCATGGTCCATAACAATAAAAATGGGCTGAGAAATGTTAGTCTGAAAGGGGTTTTGTTTTTAATCCAACTCTTGGGCGCAAATGCACATGGTACTTATCGAGAGCTATTCCAGTAAACTTGCAGGCGGTAATAAACTAACAATCAGAATCCAAATGTGTTAAGACAGCGTGGCCAGGTTTAATCACACAAAGAGGTAATAAGCAAACCACCTGCAGTGCCCGGAAATGACAGAATACGGTAAGCCGGCAACCAAATGTGGGGAATGACCAATATTCTTAGGTTTTTTTTGGTTAAGTCACGTAAGTAAAAACATCAAAATAAAAATAAAATAAAAATAAAAATCACGACGTTTCCGAAACGTCGTGATTTTTATTTTTATTTTATTTTTATTTTGATGTTTTTACTTACGTGACTTAACCGAAAAAACCTAAGAATATGAATCTTTGCAGTCACGAAAGCTTCAAATCTAGAATGAATGACCAATAGTCACGAATAATAACGGAGTGGCAGCCAAGTGACAGAACGTGTCTGAGAGGGTACCAACCGAGGAGATGGAGCAATGAAATATCAGCTCGTGCGCAGGTGCTATGTGGAGTATTACTTCGCAGCGATTGCAAGAGGTGGCAGCCGCTTGGAGAGGGCTTCATCCAGCAGTGGATTAATAATGACTGATGATGTTCATGACGACGACGACGATGATGCACCTGTTTGTTAAACCATACCTTCATCATCTGCCTTGTTCTCGTCTATCTCCACACTGACGGTCTCCTCCCACGAAGGCGAGTGTGTGGCCTGGCTGCTGGCGTGCGTCACGCCCTGGGCTGCCCTGCTCTGCTGCTCGTCTGTGCCGCTCTTTCTGCCGGTGCAAACAATTCCAGAACGAGAAATAAATATCGCCCAATGAATGGTTTCCAACATGCGTTTTGTCGTCTTTTTTTAGATAGCATACGTAGGTTGAAGATATCGCGTTGCATTGCGCGAAGGGATTATGAGCTACGGTGAAGAATAATGATGGGGTGGCGGCCGAGGAATGGACGTGTCCGCTGTGGAAGGGAAGGAATAATCCGCAAGTGGGGTGGGTGTCAGGATCGGAGGAAAGGGTGAATATAATTGTGTGTTTACAAAAGTAAACTTACAATGAAAATATGTAAAACTGTACCAGCAGTGATCAGGGATTAATTTCTAATCGAATCCCTCCCCCCCCCCCCCGTCAGAAATATTTTTCTCAAGAGCTTGGCTCACAAACAGCTTCGGTTGAAATTAAGCTCTGGTAGTGGTCATGGTATGGATACACTTTCACCCGCAATGGGAACGTGGCATTTCCATCAGCGCCTCACGGCCACCAGTGGAGATCAGCATAGATCCCGTGGTGATTTGAGAATGGAAATGCTGACCCTTTTCCAGTCTGTATCGTTTTTTTTACAAGTTCAATGTCATCAGGTGACTGCTGCATCTTTTTTTTACCTGCCTACTCCAAATATAAATTACAGGGTAGTATACAAATAAGTATAAATTGTTAAATTTTACCTTTCTTCTAGTACGTTTTGTTCAACTTGTATAATTACTATACGTAAAATTGGCCCACAGTGCTACAGACCATCAGATTAATTAATTTAATGTTTCAGGCATTAACACTACTGTTCATATAATACAAAAACCACATCTGAACAGTGTACATTCGTAAACTATTAATTCAATCCATTTAAGAGACAATTGATTATTTTTCTCTATCGTTCCTGCATTGTCCCTGCTTTGTACGCTATTTTCTTTGGTTGTTATGTTTAAAAAAAGACATCGCAATGAAAACAAATACAATGAGCGAATAGCACATACAGTTTTGCCTAGTGCCATTCGCGTGTTGCTTTCAATTTGTGCTTCTGTAAATCCTGTGGAAAATTCCCTGTTCACACTGCCACTATGGAGCCATCTGTAATTGAATGCTAATACCAGCAATGCATTCCAGAAGCACAAACCGAGTCAGATGACTTCAAATCCCTCTAATTGGGCAAACAGGCCGAGAGGCAGGCTGGGCTCAGACGGCTGGCTAACAGAGGGTCCTTGTGTGTGTAGGCAGTCTCGGGGGGAGTTCAGCCTTATCCCTGTGATGTAATATTTATGGCCTGGACCTCCACGCGCTCCCTCTCAAAACACCAACTAAGCGCACACGATAGTGCTCAAGCGTGAGCCGAGGCTCTCCAAAAGGGATTAACGGTGGCCTCTCCTTCCCTTCGCAAATATTCATCAGCCAATTAGCAGATCAGGTGGTTTCATGCCTAGAGGTATGAGCACATATGGTTGGATTCCAGATCAGATTTTCAATTGATGCGTGCGAACCAATTCTTAGCTCCAGCTGTACAAAATAGCACGGCTTTCCTATTTGCCACTTTACAGTAAGTATTATTTTTCTCACGCACAAAGTAAATCTTCGGGTTATTTAAATCGCGTGCGCATCCTAATAATTTCCCCTACCCCAAAGTCATTTTGCTGGTGCAGAAATGTGTTGGCTTAAGTCATTAAAGTGTATTGGCAAGGTGAAGGGAATTTCCATTAAAATCAGTCGGAGAACATAGGCGAGGCATAAAATCAATATTAAAACCAGACCAGGGCTAATGAAAAATTGATGACACCTCACTTCCTTTCACAGTCTGGGCCGTGCCTGAAGGCCGTGATGTTTTTTTAATGTAAAATTGTTAAATGTAAATTACATACATACAGAATTCAGTCCCAAACACATGTGGAATTTAATCGTTTCGACTACTCAAAAATAATACTTGCTCAGAAATGAGCAAACCCCCTTATATGTCAGTAATGTACACGTTTGTAATGTAAACAAGCTAAAATATTTTCCTTTGTTTCTTGAAGTTATAAATATGATGAAATACTGTTTTAAATTGATGTTTTCTGTGGCATTTTCAAACCGAAAAAGTGTGTAAGTATGAGTGTATGTAAAACATTTTTTTAAAGATATTCAAATGCTAGCCGTTTGAATGGGGTACAATTCACAGCTCTTCATTGCCATGCACAGTATTCCCATTATTATAAAATCACATGACATCTTTAATTGCTATAATATGTCATTGCCAATAAGAGAAATACTGCGAGTTGTAATTTTTTAAGGAGTATTGACATAGCATGCATTGTTAAACAAAAACTAAAAAACTGAAAATAATCCGTTTTCGTGATCTATAGGACTGTCCCGAAAGTGGATATGAATTAAAATCACAGTGCATAGTCCATGAGGTGAGAGCAGATATTTCACTTGTTCATACCACCGTGATAATCGGAGGTGCAGGCGAAGGACACATACTAAACACAATAAGCAGTTCTAAAGAAATGGGTTTACAATCTAGATCTAAAGTGCATAGTTCCTGTGACTCCCTAATATCGGAAGAGCACTCCAGATGGCCGCAGAAGCAGCATCTGAAAGCGTGTGATGCAGTGACCGTCTTTGTTCGATGGTTAGTCAAAAGACACTGCGAGGATGACCGGAGTTTGCGTGATGGTTTAAAATGTGGCCAATAGCAGTGAATTATGTGATAACCTTATCAACCATGTAAATACATAGGCACGACTAAAGTTGTTTTACTTTAGGTTTTACCAATTTATGCTCTGATCCATGGAAGAGCATTAATGTATTAAAATTGCTACTAAGCGCCCCCTGTTGAACAAGATTTTGACACGGTGCAACTAAGGTAGCCACCTCTGAGCTACAAAATACGCAGGATACATAAATGGGAAGCATATCTCGTGATCCCAGAAGAGGGGAGAACAACATGTAAGTGCATCTTGTTGTTGTTCTCCAACTGACAAAACACTGGAGCTATAAGTGTCCCAGTAAGATTACCTACCTCAAAACAGAGAGAGCATTCTGGTGAAACTGAGAGAGGTGGCAAGCCTCGGCAAAACTCGCACTTAAGCCCAAGCACGTGCCCTCCTTAAACGGCTTGAGCCCAGTCGCTGCCTAAAACGCCGTGGACACCAAGGGTGGCACAGTCGGGTGTTTTTATAATCGGGTTTAAGTGTCTTTTTATATTAAACCCGATCATCTGAGATTGGGAGAAATCCGGTTTAATTGGTTCTAATTGCAGAACCGCACTTCGCCAACTTCTCAACGATGGGCTTCATCCATTCCAAGCGAAGGAACTCACTGGCGCCCACGATTGTGGAGGAGAAGCTCTTCGTGTTCATCAAGACCAACCTGCCCACCGCATTCTACGACTACCCTGTGCCCGACGGCCCCCCGAGTACGATAGCAGCACCGACGAGGAAGCAGCCCAAGCCTTGGATCAGAGTTTCGTATTCATTGAACCAGATTTTAATTCCCCGAAATCGGGTGTAATTGTATTAAAGAAAAAACCCGATGCCTGCCGCTGTAAAAATCGGGTTTTTTTCACCCATGGACACCACCCACCACCACCACAATCTCCACACCACTATTGTACACGGCGTTGTTGTTATCACGTGACGATGATACGGGTTGGAAAGACTCATCGGTTAGTGAATCGGCTCACACTATATGCACTGAATGACGTGTGTAAGAAGCAGTGTGTGGCCAACGTTGTTTATGCTGAATTGAAATGGGTTCACATAGCCCACATCAACCTTAAAGTCAATACCATTCACGGCTAACGATGTATATAATGAACGCTCGAGTCGAATCTCATGCCTGGTTTGCTACAATTCGAAGAATCGCCGAGGTTGAATCGTTCCACTGTCCCATGACAATAAACTGCACAATCATTGGTGATGACAAGTTTCATCAGATCCTTACAAATGACTAAAATAACTATTGTTAACCATGATATAATCCCATTCATTTTCATGCTTTTTGTTTATGCACAATGAACATTCCGATACTGTCATAATTTTGTGTGTGTAATATATATGCTTTGTGCCAAAATAAGAGTTCAGTGGCAGCTGCACTTAAATATACCTCGAACGGTTGCCAATCATACAATGTGGTCAACATCGCAAGCTTAGGACTGGCAATATCTTCTCAATGGAAATTTGCACTAACCTCACAGGCACTCGCATACGACGGTCTTACTGACAGCAGCTGAGACGAAAGATGACAATGTCAAATCAAGACACGTGCATTTGTGAACAATTTTAAGGCAACGGTACGAAACGCGCGCACGCACTCGCATTTACGAATACCGATTCGAGACGTGAACACGACTAAACAACGACGCCTAGGACAACAATCAAGGTGGGTTCGTGCCTCTGCATGCATCCGAGCCTCTCATCTGCAGCCTGTCCATCTCCCGGCCCAAATAAAAGTTTAATGAAGCGGCGCATTGGGGACAAAGCTGATGATTTGCCGATGAGGTGGAGACGGACGTGCCGCTCCCCGTCTCTGAAGAGCAACGTAGTCGATTTGCAAAGCCAATGGGAAGGGATCAATATGCCTTCCATTATGGCCAAGGAATTTAGCAACAACATAGATTGGTGTTTAAGCACTGGCCTAATTGGCAGCGTTGTACCCTTGCCTTCAATATCTTTGGATAATGATGATAATGAAGATTGCGTGGGTCGTCTAGGTGTAATGTGTTAATAACATCTGAAAGGGCTCGTGATGGTAAAATGTCAATACACAGTGCATTGAGGATTACAGCATACGAGCAAACATGTATCACGTGCTCTAGTTTTAAAATAAAGTCCATGCGTAAGCCTTATTCTCTACAAATGGAATACGACAAGTCCAAATTAAGCCGTCCTATTTTGTGAATTCTACGGGCTGCCAAGCCACATCAGGGTTGCAGAGCTGAGTGTCAGATCAACTGTCTAAGGCCCTGCACTGTGCGGGTTTTGCTCTGTCAAGTGCCAAACTCGTCACTATAGAGACCTGGAATGGAGGTCAAACGAAAGTGGGGAGCAAGAAATGGGCTTCTGATTCGGTGGGATTTAAACAAAGGCAGGGGCTGTCTCGCCGGCTGTCTAAACACGGTCAGCAGCGATGTCGTTGAGTGAGTGAGGAGGAAGAAATGCAATACCTCCCAATGCCTCATCAATAACGTCGAGTGACATTCACAGAGAGCAATTATCGCTTGCGGTCAAAATCCTAAATATCATCTTATTTGTCTGTAATATTTGCGCATGTTAAGACTGAATATGCGTTCTTTAAAGTATATTAGCAGCTAATTATACAACAGAATATCAAAAAAAATAACTTTTGTTAAATAGTGCCACATATATAATTTACTTATTTATTTTTAATCTACCAGTCATACATTTTGAAAAAACAACTGACCTCTTTCCAACATTTTTTTTTTACAACATTCCTGCATCACAATTGAGCATATACATGGTGTCAGATCTGGGTGGTTGAAATCTTGGCAACATATTCCTTGTGGCATTATCAGCAGAATGTCAGGCATGGGAGTTGTTTGGTCATACTTCACCACGTTAGTCAATGAATCAGCGAATGGGGGGGGGGGTTGCATGGGAGCTGCACCAGAATTGGTTCACGTATCATTCCATTTAGAGCAGTGGTTCTTAACCTGGTGATGCGAGATGCCCTTTCTGGAGGTGCGAGACATGGCCACATTTTTTTAGAAGGTAAATCATCGAAAGACAAATTAAGCACGGGCACGTAGGTACAATCACTTCGTTTCATCAAACCTTTGTATTTATTAACATACCTTTGTTTCACGATTAGAAAACCAAGGCTGCAGTAAAGGTTAAGAACCACTGGTTTAGAGAGATGAAACTCACGTGATAAAATATGAACACTACCAGGTATATGTGGTGAGTTTGGTTTAATCAGCCTAGCTCAACCTGCTGTCTAATTATACTATTTTTTATAATGGATATCTTGCGGACGACATATATAATATACATCTCCATTCTTCACAACATTCCAGCCACAGCAATTAAACAGCCGATACAGACATTACACGTAGGGCAGTGGTGGAGAACCTATGCCCTATGATTGCATATCACGCGGCCCGCACAGCCACGTGAGGCCTTCGATAGTTATCCAGCCACTGCACCTTAGCCGCACTCATCAGGGTACGAGAGGGGGGCCCACTTTCGACGTGGCGATACCGCATCCATAAATTCGGCACGCTCAGTTACATCTGACCGACGCATGCGCTAATGTGCGGTCCCGCCTTTGGCGACACGAAATTTGAAAGTTTTCTTTGGCAATCGGTATAGGAAACAGTTCCCCCCGCCGCCGCCATCCCCGATATAGAGCAAGGAGCGAGATGGCGGTAATGAGGGATGATCTCCACGCTCGCGTGACGCGCAGCACTTACACGGCGGCGAATGGTCGCGGGACTCCTCCGTCGCTCGGCGGGGGCAGGCTGCTCACGCCGTGGAGAATTAGCGTCACCGTCTCCTTGCCCGGGCGCTGACACGTGCCAGGAATTCGTGGCGGCATTGACGGGCGGCTCCGAGGGCCTCGCTGCTCCCTCCATTACCTGGGCCAGATGAATATTTCACATTGCTAAGGCACTGTGCATGCTCTATAGAATCACACACACATGTACAAGTTACGGCGAGTGACATTGACAATCAAAAGCGATGGCAATTGTAAACATTGAGGTTAGTGTTGGTAGCAGAATTAAATTATTCTTTTTGTTCCATGTAGGAATTGTGCATTTATCTGTGCTGAATTATTGGCAATGAAACTCGTTTTTTTCATGCACTATGGTTCAGCACAACTTGATGCAATTGTATGCAGTGAGACAGTCGATGGTGTTGATTTCAACATGCAGTAGTGTGAATTAAGGTTTTGAAATATTCATGAGTAGGAATGCATTACAAGAACAACATGTAGGAAAAAAGCCTATGGTAGTTATCCAACTCTCCTGTCTTTTGCAGAAGATTATTTTTCAGTCACGGACAAATTTCTTAAAACAGACTCCATAATTCTTGACAAATCAGTTCACGTGCAGGTGATTGGTGGATTGTTTAATCACAAGATTGTGAGAAGTGTTGGTGACTTAGGGGGGAACTTCATCCAGCAGTAGATTGACCATGGCTTACGATTATGATTTTTTTTTACATAATTACTTTTGTTAAGGGTATGAGTAATGTAATTTAAAGCACACTCAATTTACTAACATAATCATTTCCTCAATAAATGCCACTCCTGATTATCTTCACACATGGAAATATTACAAAAATAAATGCAGCTATTTTAATACCATTTCCAACGGTTGTCTTGACATCGCTGAATTTTGTATAAAAAATTAATAGTTTTCAGTATTGAGATTATTTCCATATGAATATTATTTTAGTTGTTTTTTACCGAGTGAAAGTAAACATGTGCCAACATTTTTTCTACAAATGTTTACAAATAGGTTCTAATATCTTAAATATTAATTATTCATCGAGAAGACTTACGGCTTTTGGAACCGAAGGCCTGCGTTTTATTCCTCACCCCATGACTAACATCAGTGCCGAGTGAAATGTGAATTGTGAGCTGAAGAATTTATATTAATCGGTGATTTTATGCATCGTTCCACCCCTAATATCAATACATATGCAAATGTGTCTCTGCTTCAGAATGTATCCGAGGTTTAAACGAAAACATTTTATCCCAACTAAATCCATGACTGGGCGTCAGTCAGAAGCCCCTCTCTGGTACAGGGCTCCTACAGCCACCGGTGCTGCTGATGAAAAAACTCGGCTCACAATCAAAACATCGTGAGTTTAACCTCAGATGATGGGGGTGGGGTCACGACTTCCTCCAATCCCATCTCTGTATTTGAGGATACTGGTCCCCCAACAGAGGAAACATGAAACGTATATCACGAGCCTCGGGACACCGATGGGCACGAGCACCATGTCATGTATGTTGAACTTCTTTTGCACCGTACCTAGCCAACCATGCTTGTCGGAAGTGTGGGGGAAGGACAACAAACTCAAGACAAAAATCAGTTCGAGACAAGTGAGTTTTCGACCTATATTTAAAAGTGCATAGCTCCAATGGCTTCATAATATCAGAAGGAAGAGTGTTCCACACGGCCGCAGAAGCACATCTCAAAGCAAGTGATTTAGTGGCCATTTTTGTTAGATGGGTAAGCATCTCCTCATGCGTGTTTGGCTATTGAAACACTAAACAGTTTTTTTTTGTCCAAATGACCTGGAATGCACCAAATTCCATCAAATATCAGAAATAAAGCAGGGTTGAGAGCCCAGATATTTGCTGGATTGGTGACCAGCATTTACAAACAGGTTGCTAAAGGAGGCTGCCAGACTACATGGTGGGTAGCAGAGGGCAGTGTAGAAAAATAAATACATGTTGTACTAGACTGCTCTGCTCCTACTTCTATGATCCCCGCATTCAAAAGGACGTTCTTATTCAGTCCGGTGGCCACGTTCTTATTCAGCATGATATGGTCAAATAACCCCACACAGCCAAGGAAGGTCCTTATCCAGCAGTGGATTGACAAAAGGCTGTAAATATACAAGTAAATAAATTACAATTGAACATTTCTTTAAAAAATGATTGAGCCAACCAACTTACGACTCAATTGTCAAAACGTATCAGAAATATTGCAAATCGACAATGTGCCAGGGGGTGCTGATCCTTCTCCAAACTTTGTACTTATTCCTCATTTATTTTAAAATGAACTCTTGGAAGTGCTTGCACAAAGGATAATAACATCTCATCCTGTGTTCTTTGGAATTTGCTTCCCCTCAATCCCAATAGACCGGTCAGTGTTTTCACATCCATGTGCTCGCATCCTCAATGCAGAATATTCATGAGGTTCGATCCTCTCATTTCCCAGAAGGAGGCAGGTGCAGTGCTGCTGTTCCGGCTGGGTTGGTCTCTCTCTCCATCATCGGCGAGCCCCAATGTAGAAGTGCAACAGGGAGCTTGGAGTGTGTGATTTACTGAGGCCGCAAACCACACGGATAGCAACCGGTGGTGGAGGCGGCGCTAGGCATAAGCAAACCAGGCAAAATCTTCGGGCCCGACACCCCCCCCGCGCACAGCTCAAGGGCCTTAGATCAATGAAAACGATGGAGTGCATAAAATGTCGGCTGAAATTCAAACCATTGTAAATCATAACGTCAAAAAAGTCAATGAAGCTCGCTCATCTCTATCTTGTCTGCATCTCTTCTCTCATCTCACGGCATCTCTATGTTTTTGTCTACAATTTTTGTCTACAACTCACTATATCTAAATCTCTTGGCTCTAGCTCACTAGGAATTTAGAAATTGGAATCGGGCCGCAAAAAATAATTTGTGTTTCGGGCCCCCCAACCCCCAATGGGCTTACAACAACACATGGCTAGCAGCCCCTCTTAATCTCTACCCCCACCTCCACACCACCATCAACCCCCCCTACCAAAGCACCCCGAACCAGCGGTCTCCCAAGGGACACTGTGCCCGGTCACGGCGGCCCAGCCATCAATGTTTTGCCATTTCAAAAATGTATTTTTTCTTTCACCACCACCGCCGCCGCCTACTGAACCCCTAAGCCTCTCCCGCAAACTACTCCACAAAACAACAGTTGTTTGATAAGCAAACCTACATTGTAAGACAGCTGTGAAGCTACTGTTAAATTATCGCTGGCGATTGTATTATTTTGTAACTTATTTGCAAAGTCTGCTATTGCTCACAGAAAAAAACGACAGAAACACGAGGCGGTATTTAACAAATGCTGTAAGTGGATTGCCTTTTGGATTTTATTTTTTTCGCCACGAATGTTCTCGTGCAGTACATCTGCCAGAGACGAGGCACTGCCTCAAAGCCCCCCGCAATTGAAATGCGCGGTCTTAATGGAATACATTTTTAAGGAACGTGTAAATCATAATCCACTGTTCCCGTTATTTTAGAAACCGAATCTACTTCAGTCCCCAAAGGCAGGCAAGTGCACCTATGACAGCCGCATGTCTAATTTGCATGTCTCTCCCATGTCTTCCGCATGAACTATAGAGAAGAAGAAGGCAAACAATCATACTTGCAAGGTCCCAGTTGCAAATCACTAAGCTTTGTGCATCGGCAGCGAACACTACTCACGCCTGCAATCAGCGCCAATTCCTTGGCGCACAATAGGTGTGGTATGTTCTGGCGGCAATTCACTCGAATATTTTATGACAAGACGGAATCTATGAACGCTGAAAAAACACGTACAGTGATGCGAGCTGTTACTTCAGTCCACTGCTGCCAGGAATATATTGCTTCTCGTGCGCTAATTTGTCACCAGAGCAGTGATTTTATGATCAACGTGTTATCCACCTTTGAACTTTGCACACTCTTTTAGCTGGTCAAATTAACAGCTCACTCTATATATTATAACTTATTAAATACATCTCAGCAAGAATGCAGGATATGAGCAAACAAAGGGTATAACAGCCATTTTATAAACAATAACGGTGGTTGATCAAGTTTGGGTAAAGATGAAACCCAAGACTTCACTTATTCACGCCACTGCTCCTGAAAAGGTGGGTATTTTGGCCTACTCTTTCAAGCTGCTGATTGACTAACCGTGGCGTATCCCATTCATATCACTGGATGGAGAGAGGCAATGGGAGATTTAAATTTCGATTTAAAGCTTTCGTGACTGCAGGGATTCATCTTCTTGGTTCTTTCGGTAAAGTCACGTAGAAGGGAAGTAATAAAATAATAAAAATAAAACATAATAAAATCAAATAATTCTCACGACGTTTCGGCTACAACGCAAGCAGCCGTCTTCAGGTGAAGAATGAGACACTGCCAAGCTAGGAGCTTATATATAAGCTGAGTTGGAGGTGGAAGAAGAAGAGAGCCTTAACAAAAGAATGTGCACATCAAGAGGAATTTAGCATATTCATCCTACGCATTTCCCATGAATATGCTAAATTCCTCTTGATATGCACATTCTTTTGTTGAGGCTCTCTTCTTCTTCCACCTCCAACTCAGCTTATATATAAGCTCCTAGCTTGGCAGTGTCTCATTCTTCACCTGAAGACGGCTGCTTGCGTTGTAGCCGAAACGTCGTGAGAATTATTTGATTTTATTATGTTTCATTTTTATTATTTTATTACTTCCCTTCTACGTGACTTTACCGAAAGAACCAAGAAAATGGGAGATTTATTAAGAAACTCGGCCCTTGTTTCCGCAATCGCGCCGGGCGATAGAATCGAACCGGCGGCCTCTGCATTGGAAATCCAGTGTGGTATCGATTACACCTCGGCGTGTGGAATGGACCGTGATATCTGCCTGCATCTAAAACCCATAAGCTCGACTTTTGCGTTCAAGATTGGTGATCTGAGATTTTGTAGTGGGAATTAATTACGAGTGGAGGGTGGAGAAATGAACGTTCAACGTGTGTTTGCTAACACCGAGACAGCCAGAATGAATGTCCTGTAGGTCTGGGGAATTCGCTGTGATGGACAGCTGAGGGTTGATGGAAATGTTAGCCCCGTCATTGCAAACATGAGCATTGGGTCACGTTCCTTCATCACGGCATACCCTGGGGAAT